ATTTTGACCCTTTCGGGCCTTCTTGGAGGGCTCTTGGGCTGTCTTGGAGGCCATCTTGGGCGTCTTGGAGGCCTCTTGGGCAGTCTTGGGGGCCTCTTGGGGCCGTCTTGGGCCTCTTGGGCGATCTTTGGGGGCACCTGGACCGTCTCGGGCCGTCGGAAGGCCGAACAAAAAGCAAATGCCACAGTCCTTCAAAAACCTCCGGAAAGTAAATGATTTTGGCCTTTTCGGGCCTTCCTGGAGGCCCTCTTGGAGGCCTCTTGGGCCGTCTTGGGCCATCTGAGGGCCATCTTCCGCCGTCTTGGTGGGTTCCTGGCCCGTCCGACGCCGTCGGAACCCGTTTTGGGGGCCTCTCTGGGCCGACTAGGGGCCCTCTTGGAATGTTCCAGGGCCGTCTTGGAGGCCATCTTGGGCGTCTTGGAGGCCTCCTAGGCCGTCTTGTTTGGGCCGTCTTGGGGGCCTCTTGGGCCGTTTTGGGGCCATCTTGGAGGCCTCTTGGGCGATCTTTGGGCGATCTTTGGGGACTCTTGGGCCATCTCGGGCCGTCGGAAGGCCAAAAGAAGCAAATGTCAAAATCTTTCAAAGACTCATGGGGAAGCAGCGTTTTCAGCATTTGATTCGCCTTCCTGGAGGCCCTCTTGGAGGCCTCTTGGGCCGATGTCAAAATCTTCCAAAGACTCATGGGTAAGCAGTGTTTTCAGCATTTGATTCGCCTTCCTGGAGGCCCTCTTGGAGGCCTCTTGGGCCGTCTTGGGCCAGCTTCGAGCCAACTTCGGCCATCTTGGTGGGTTCCTGGCGTTGACGACGTCCGGGGACCGTCTTGGGGCCTTATGAACGATTGGGGTCCTATTGGGGCGTTCGGGGCCCGTCTTGAGGCCATTTGGGCGTCCTGGAGGTCTCTTGGGGCCGTCTGGGGGCTCCTGGGGCTGTCATGGGGGTTCTCTTGGACTCGTCATGGGGCCTCTTGGAAGCGTCGTGGGCGATCTTGGGGGCGCTCTTGGGGGCCTCTTGGGCCGTCTTGAGCCGTCGGAAGGCGGAAAAGACGCGAATGCCAATATCCTTCAAAACCCTCAGGACAATCAATGATTTGGGCCTCTTTGGGCCCTCCTGGAGGACCTCTTGGAGCGTCTGGGAGGCCTCTTGGGGGCCTCTTTGGCCGTCTTAGGCCATTTTGAGGCTATCTTAGGCCGTCTTTGGTGCATCTTGGGCCGTCTTGGAGGCATATTGGGACCATCTGAGCCGTCTTGGCAGCCATCTTCGGCCATCTTGGGGCCGTGTTTGGCAGGAAAACCGTTTGCAACCGGGTCTTTCGGGTGGCCGTCGGGATGGGCCGAAAGCCCAGGGGGAGGTTTATTTTGGGAAAAGAACAAACACAGAAAACCGTAAAAACTCGCAGCACGGGCACCCTTTGTGGAAGCCAAACAGGGGAGCGGCGGATCGAAGCGGCGGATCGAAGACGCCTACGGCGAATCACCGCCGCCCCCTGCCTTTGTGGAAGCGCCTATGTGGCCGAACGTTGAGGCCAGACCTGCCAAGCCATCGGACATGTGTTCCCCGAATCGGTTTGGAAAGCCTTCGGGGAACACGTGGGCGTCTTGATGGTCATCGTCGTCGTCTTGGAGGCCTCTGGGGCGATCTTTCGGCGATCTTTGGGGGCTCTTGGGCCGTCTCGGGCCGTCGGAAGGCCGAAAGAAGGGAAATGCCCAAATCCATCAAAAACCATGGGAAAATCAGTGATTTTGGCATCTTTTGGCCTTCCTGGAGGCCCTCTTGGGGGCCTCTTGGGCCCTTTTGGGCCAGCTTCGAGCCAACTTCGGCCATCTTGGTGGGTTCCTGGCACGTCTGACGCCGTCGGGAGCCGTTTTGGGGGCCTTTCTGGGCCAACGGGGGACCCTCTTGGGGCGCTCCAGGGCCGTCTTGGAGGCCATCTTGGGCGTCTTGGAGGCCATCTTGGGCGTGTTGGTGGCCTCTTGGGCCGTCTTGGGGCCCTCTAGGGGCCATCTTGGAGGCCACTTGGGCCATCAGGGGGCTCTCTTGGGGGCCTCTTGGGCGATCTTGGAGGCTTCTTGGGCCGTCTTGAGCCGTCGGAGAGCCGAAAAGGCGCAAATGCCAAAATCCTTCAAAAACCAAAGGGAAATCAATGATTTTGGCCTCTTCGGACTCTCCTGGAGGACCTCTTCGAGGCCTCTTGGGCCGTCTGGGAGGCCTCTGGGGGGCCTCTTGGGCCGTCTTGGGCCGTCTTGGACTCTCTTGGGCCGTTTTGGAGGCCGTCTTGGACCATCTCGGGCGGACTTGGAGGCCATCTTGGGCCACCTTCGCGATTTGTTGAGGATGTCCCGAGCGAAACGGCCGTTTTTGGGCACGGTGGCGGGACGGGCCGGAGCCCACTGGAGAGTTCTTTTAGAAAAAGAACCAAAACCAAAACCTGAAACGTCCAGCACGCCGTGCACCCCTGCAAGCAGGGGGCGGCGGATCGAAGACGCCTACGGCGAATCACCGCCGCCCCTGCCTTTGTGGAAGCGCCTATGTGGCCGAACGTTGAGGCCAGACCTGCCAAGCCATCGGACCATGTGTTCCCCGAATCGGTTTGGAAAGCCTTCGGGGAACACGTGGGCGTCTTGATGGTCATCGTCGCCGTCTTGGAGGCCGCTTGGGCGATCTTTCGGCGATCTTTGGGGGCTCTTGGGCCGTCTCGGGCCGTCGGAAGGCCGAAAGAAGGGAAATGCCAAAATCCATCAAAAACCTTGGGAAAATCAGTAATTTTGGCATCTTTTGGCCTTCCTGGAGGCCCTCTTGGGGGCCTCTTGGGCCCTTTTGGGTCAGCTTCGAGCCAACTTCGGCCATCTTGGTGGGTTCCTGGCACGTCTGACGCCGTCGGGAGCCGTTTTGGGGGCCTTTCTGGGCCAACGGGGGACCCTCTTGGGGCGCTCCAGGGCCGTCTTGGAGGCCATCTTGGGCGTCTGGGAGGCCATCTTGGGGGTGTTGGAGGCCTCTTGGGCCCTCTTGGGGCCCTCTAGGGGCCATCTTGGAGGCCACTTGGGCCATCATGGGGCTCTCTTGGGGGCCTCTTGGGCGATCTTGGGGGCTTCTTGGGCCGCCTTGAGCCGTCGGAGAGCCGAAAAGGCGCAAATGCCAAAATCCTTCAAAAACCAAGGGAAAATCAATGATTTTGCCCTCTTCGGACTCTCCTGGAGGACCTCTTGGAGGCCACTTGGGCCGTCTGGGAGGCCTCTGGGGGGCCTCTTGGGCCGTCTTGGGCCGTCTTGGACTCTCTTGGGCCGTTTTGGAGGCCGTCTTGGACCATCTCGGGCGGACTTGGAGGCCATCTTGGGCCATCTTCGCGATTTTTTGAGGATGTCCCGAGCGAAACGGCCGTTTTTGCGCACTGGCGGGTTCTGCCGGAGCCCACTGGGGAGTTCTTTTGGAAAAAGAAGCAAAACCAAAACCTAACAGCTCGTCCAGCACGCCGTGCACCCCTGCAAGCAGGGGGCGGCGGATCTAGCGGCCTTCGGCCCGTCCCGCCACCGTGCCCGGGTGGTGGGTCTGGAGGCCTCTCGGATGTTCGTCGGGATCTCGTCGCGGCCGTTCCGGGGCCTCCTGGGTGCAATTTGGAAGCCTCCGGGGGGTTGCTCGTGAGCCTCCTGGGGCCATTTTTGGGCCTCTTGGGGGCCTCGCAGGGGCCTCGTGGGGACCTCTTGGGGGCCTCCTGGGGCCTCTCGGGGTCTCCTGGGTGCCTCTCGGGGCGGAAGGCTGGGATTTTTGGGTCGTGTTCCCCCTCTTGGCACCCTCTTGGGGCCGTCTTGGTGCCGTCTTGGGTGCCTCTTGGGCCATCTATGGGCTCTCTTGCCTTCGTGTGGCCCTCTTGGGGGCCTCTGGGGCCGTCTTGGAATGGTTTTGGGGGCCTCTTGGGACGTCTTGGAGCGCCGGAAGTTCTCTAAAAACGGAGAAGCTACACATCATTGAAACACCAGAGGAACAATATAAATGATGTTGGCCTCTCGGGGCCCTCTTGGGACGGCTCTCGGAGGCCTCTTGGTCGATTGGAGGCCATGCGTTTTGGACCTATTTCCGGCGATTCGGGGCCCTCTTGGATCATCTTGGGGGCATTTTGGGACCCTCTTGGCCCGTCTTGGGGCCGTCCAGGGCCTCAACAAGTCATGCGACATCATGCGACGCCATGCGGGTGAGCCTAGGGGCCACGCGCAAACCGAAGAAGACGTTTGGAGTATTTGGGGTCTTGGTTTCCTCTACGAAGGAACCTTCAGGATCGCACTTCCTGCGTGAGGCCCCCCTTCCTGTCAGTGCCACGTGCTCCAGTGACACGGCCAGACCTGCCCCCCGCTAGCACGGCCGGACCCGGCCTCCCCGCTCGGCATGCCGCGGGCTCCCCGCGTCCCGGCCCGCCCCTCTCCGGCCAGGTTCTGCACCCCGGGCATCGTGATGTCCCTGTACAGCATGCTCGCCAACAAGCCGGAGCCCACCGTGGCAGACATCGAGTCGGCCTTCGACGGCAACCTCTGCCGCTGCACCGGCTACCGCCCCATCCTGGACGCCGGCAAGACGTTCGCGTGCGACAAGCACGCCGTGCCGTCGCACGGCAAGTGCGGGGGCGGGGCCGCCGCGGGCCCCGAGGGCGAGGGCGGCGTCCAGGCGCGGGGCGCACCAGAAACCTCAGCCCTCGGCCGGGGGCGGCGCGGAGACTGCCCCAGCAGGCGCGGTGGGGGGCTCTGAGGTGCAGTCCGCCCCAGGCGTCGGGCCTCGCTCTGCTTCCGCGGACCTTTGGGGGAGACAGATCTGCGGAGCTCAGCGCGCATCTCTGGGATCGGCGCTGGGCCCACCTCTCTGGCGCGCGCCTTCCACTGGGCGAGTTCCGGGCTTGAGCGGATGCGGGGGATCCAAGGGCAGGTTGGAGTGCACCACATCAGCCGTGTGCAACACAACACCAGTGTACATCACAATGGCTGCGTGCACTACAGCGCCTGTGTGCACCACGGCGCCTGTGTGCACCACAGCAACCGTGTGCAACAGAACACCATTGTTGATTATAGCATGTCCGAAGGAATCCTCATGACAAAATTGAACGCCTGAGACTTCCTCAGACAACAATTGTTTTAGATAGGATGTGGAAAGGATGCTTATGGAAAAGGGAACGCCGCTGGAATCTACGAGTCCTCCCGAGTCCGCCCGCATCATCCTAAGTCCGTCCATGTGCGTCCAGGAGGCTCCGACAAAATTTGGCGTCCGAGAACCAAGTGGACTGATTCAACCGACAATTTTGCGGTGCATGCTGAGATGCGCACGTGCTTTGTAGCGCCGACCGGCACGACAAGGGGGGAAGGGTGAGGGAGGAGGAGTAGGAGGAGGACGGGGAAGAGAAGAAGGAGGACCAGTGTAAACCCAAGGGCCATCAACGATGTTGGAATTAACCCTCCTTCCAATCCCCTCTTCATAAGCCCCTATTGACGGAACTGCCTCGTTGGAAGACAACCGTTTGAAGATCCTGAACCATGCCAACACATGGTTCTCGGAATTACAGTTCCACGGATCAACCTGGTTGCTGCGTATTGACGATCTGGAATCGTGCCAGAGAGCCATTTTCGGGATTTCGACATCGCGAGTATAGCTGTTGCGCCCGCATAATCATGAATCTTTCCAAAACGACAGTTCTGGTACGTGGATCATGGGAATCAATTGAGCTGAAAACCACATTCTGAAAACCACCTGCCCCAACACGTGAAACGTTTGCAAATTTGTAAAACGAATGTGCGCGGCGCTAAGGCGAAAACCAAATGTTGAAAAGGAACCGCCTTCGATACGTGAAACCCTTTCAAATGTGTAAAACGAATGTGCGCGGCGCAAAGGCGAGAACCACATTCTGAAAAAAGAACCGCCCTCAATCCGTGAAGCACTTTTCAATTTTGTAAAACGAATGTGCGCGGCGCTAATGTGAGAGCCTCATTTTGAAAACCACCCGCCCTCAATCCGTGAAGCTCTTTTCAAATTTGTAAAACGAATGTGCGCGGCGCTAAGGCGAAAGCTACATTTTGAAAACCACCCGCCCTCAATCCGTGAAGCTCTTGCAAACTGTTCAAACGAATGTGCGCGGCGCTAGGGCGAGAACCTCATTTTGAAAGCCACCCGCCCTCCATCTGTGAAGCCGTTGTGGTGAGGAAGTCTCATTCCAAACGCCTGGCCCGCCATCGGGGTGCGACAAGGATATGTTATCTATACAGACAAAGAATGGAAGATGAGGAGGAGGACGAGGAGGAGGAGGAGGAGGACGAGGAGGAGGAGGAGGAGGAGGAGGAAGTGGAGGAGGAGGAGGAGGAGGAGGAGGAGGTGGGGGTGGAGGTGGAGGTGGAGAAGGAGGAAAGAGGGAGTAACTTCGTATTCTATTATCAGCACATCCCTGGCGTGGCGCTCAGCTGTTCGCAGCAGATCCTCGCTTACATGCTCCTTCTACCTCTCCTGTGCACTCAGGCGCTGTGGTGTACACCAGCGCTGCGTTGCACGCGGATGCTGTGGTGTAGACAGGCCGTGTGGTCTGCACAGGCGCTGCGGTGCACGCAAACATTGTGGTGTACACAGGCGCTGTGTTGCACATGGTTGCTGCGGTGTACACATCCGCTGTGGTGTACACCGGCGCTGCAGTGCACACAAGCACTGTGGTGTACACAGGCGTTGCGTTTCACACGGTTGTTGCGGTGTACGCGGGCGGTGTGGTGTACGCAGGCGCTGTGGTGCAGTGCGCGCGAGCATTGTGGTGTACACAGGCGTTGCGGGGCAGATCGCTGCCTACATGATGCTCCCGTCGTCGTCGTCGTCGTCGTCGTCGTCGTCGTCGTCGTCGTCGTCATCGTCGCTCGTCGCTCGTCGCTCGTCGCTCGTCGCTCGTCATTCGTCGCTCATCGTCGTCGTGCCCGCGGGCGCCGTTGTGGTGCCTGGGCCACACGGCGGGGGGGGCGTTGTGTCATAGCCCCCCCCGCCCCCCCCCATGACGCTCGTCATCGCCGAAAAAAAAGAAACGCGCTCTCAAAAGACAGCAGCTATCTCTGTCCTCCCCCTTCCCCAAGTCTCGCTCCGTTGCAGATCTGTGTGTGTGTGTGTGCGTGTGGAAGGATCCACGTGGGACGCCGGTTCCCTGGGCGCTGCCCAGCGCAGGCTTTGCCGCCACTGTCCTGCGCCCCCCGGAATCCCAGCGGGGCGCCGTCTTGCATTCTAGGCCTCCCAGATGTTGTCGGAGGATCACGCCGCATCGCCGATCCACGGGCGATCCGGCTCGATGTGGGGCCCGAGTTTGTCCACGTCGGCGTCGCCGCTGCATCGCCGATGCGATGCGAGCCTCCGGCCCCGTTTACTCGGATCCCATCTGGGAAGCCCCTATGCACGGACTTGGGTGATACCTCGCTTCTCTGAATGCTACCAAGCATGTGGTACAACCGAGGTATAAGATCGAGGTCGGCTCGGGGAGGGTACCCTGGTGTTCTTCGTGCTTGTTGGATGTCATTGTGCATCCTGGGGGTAGGTATTCTCGAGTGATCTTATGGTTTTGGGTATTTTGCCAGCGGAGGGTTCTCATGTTCTTGAAGGATGCTCTTCTGTCCTAGGTCCCACCGTACAACGCTGATAGCTGTCCCGCGCTCGGGGGGTGGGGGTCAGCAGGGCACCCAGCCCCACCCCCACCCGGCGTGAATCCAGTTTGGCCCCAGTTCTGTGGGTGCTGTTTGGTATAGAATTTCGCGGGTCCGCGCGAGGATTCGCCCCCCTTGGGTGCAGGCAAGTGCGAACTCTTTGCCAGTTCTGACGGCCCTGGAGGTGTAGTGGGGTTCCCCTTCGTGCGGACCCAAGTGAGACCTCCCTTCCATGAGTGGTCCCATATGGTCCCCAAGGTAGAATTGTCGCCACCTGCTGACTGTCACTGGAGAGCACTGCGGGGTGCCTCCCGACGCGGATCCAAACGAAATCTCGCCCCGTCTCGTGCTGCCAAACTCGGATGCTGCTGCGGTTCTCCTATCCCAGGGGGGGTCCAGTCGATCGCCGCCCCCGTACATCAGAACGAGCCCCCTCAAACAAGACCCAAATGAGATCTGGCCGCTATGGACGTTGCCGAAACTTACAGCAGCCTCTCGTTTCCCGAATCCCTTCAGATTTCATCGAAGCACCCCATCCGCAGACCCAGCCGTGAACTCGCCTCCTCGGGTCGTGCAGGCCTGTCGCCAGCAGCTGTCTCCGTCAAGCGGTGCTGTCCTCTCCAGGGCTTGCCTTTGGACTCCGATCAAACGCGATCCCTGGGTGATGCCAAGGCAGAATGTTGCTGGGCCCTGAGCCCAGGAGAGGTCCAGAGTGTAGCCTTCTTTCGTGGACCCGAGTGAGCGCTGCCAGCCGCAGAAGAGCCTGCAACTTTCCTGGGCATTGGGTAGTTCCGCGGGGCGTCACCCGACGCGGGTTCAAGTGAGACCTCCCCCGCACCAGTGTCGCCCAACGTAGGGGGTTGCCTCCATCTTCTTCTGGGCCCGGGGACACATACAAATGAGACTTTGAGTCCATGGTTATCGCCTCACGGTTGGCAGGGGGATATCGTGCACAGAAGGATCCCTCGAGGGGGAATCGCTTGGCATGGTGACATGTACTGGGGAAGCTCTATTTTTTGGGCTAGCGTGCTTCTCGGCGATCGGTGCTGCACGCTATCTTTGCGACGCCAACCCTACGTTGAACAGCCGGCACTTCTTGAGCCCCGTGGGGAGTCCTGCGTCGCTGGGTGTTGCAAGCTTGAGCTCGGCGGAGACGGGCGTCGCTGCGCGCTACGGGCGCACACACCAGGCCTCGCATCCCATGGGCCTGGCTGATCGTTTTAGCTAGACATGTCGGGTGCGTCCCTGGGAACGTGTTTGGCTCGTTGCCACGCCAGCTTTACCAAGCCCGACCAAATCGAATCGGGCGGCCTCCTCGGGTCAGCTGGCTTGGGCCCGTCTTCCGGACATGGAGAGCACGAGCCACCTGCAAACATGTCTCCAGTGTTCAATGACTTGACGTTTTGCAAGTTGCATTCTTCGGGGACCAGCTTTCCACCGGTTCGGTCGTCTGTCCTGCGCAGTTTCTACGATTTCGCGTCGGCTCGTGTCGGTCTGGATTTTCGCTTCATGAAACACACACCGTCTCCTTCTCTCCAGGTGTGCTCCTCCTCGAGCGCGACAGTGTCGAGCCTCGCGTCCTGCAAGGAGTCCTTGGCGGTACCCTTCCCAGACGCCTTGCGTGCCAGCCCGACAGCAGACTTGAAAGTCATTGGCAAGCAGGCCATCCGTGGATTTCCTTTTGCGATGTTGGGTCGGCACTATCAGGTCATGTTTCGATGCAGGAGGGTTGCTTCTCGGCCACGTGCAAATTGTTTGATAGACATTACATCTAAAGGGTATGTGTGTATGCATCTCTTCGTTTTCATGTTATTCGAGAGAGTTTGCACTTGACGGGTTTACCCTTCAGGGGCCTGGTGTCAAATGTGAACGAGAAGGGTTGCCCTGGGCATCTGTTGCCATCGTGACAGCGCATCATCGAGACAGTTCCTGGATGGTTTTAACATGGTTCCGCAATGGTCCAACCTATCGCGAAGTGATAGTGGTTCTCGGGAGTCTCCGCAGAGCACCAGGACGCCCTGTGGCCATCGTTGGTGCGATGAGTGGAAGGAATTCTCCAGAGGGGAAGGTGCAGCACTGTCTTGGGGGCCGTCTGTAGGGGTGTATGGACAGTCTTGGCCCCGTCTTGAATTATAGCTAAGATGCTGAAATACAGCACGCTGTGGGTTCGGAAAAGGCTCGGGGTTCCTCGGGTTCTTCCGTGCTTGTTCCTCTAGCCCTACTCGTGCACCCAGGCGCCTTTGGTGCCAAAAATGAGCTTCGCTCCTTGTATCTGGCGTTCCTTGTGGTAGCAGCTTGACCGTATTTGGTAGCGCCCCCGCGGGGGTCCTGGGTGGGCCCAGGGTGGTCCGGGGCCCGCCTGCGGGACCGCTCGGGGCGCGTCCTGGGGGAGCGCGGAGGGAGCCGCTGTCGGAGCCGTGGGCCTCTCCGGCAGGAGGCGTCCGAGGCTTTTTTTGGGGGCCACAGTCTTCGGGCCGCCTGGAAGGCTCTCGGCGCTGTCTCGGGGCCTCGTCGAGTCGTGTGGGCGCCTGGGCCGCCCTCGAGGCTCGACGGAGCGACCGGGAGTAAGATGTAGATGTGTGAGCTTTGACGACGCGCTGCCCCAAAGTAGTGCGACCCAGGGACGCTCCAGGAACCTGCCCGAGAGCCCACGGGGCTTTTGCACCCCAGCTTGCAAGGGGGCAGGTTGCCAGACAGGTTTCGGATCGGATGGTGGTGGCCTTTCTGTATGGTTTGCGTGGGTCTGCAGACGATGCATCAATCCGAGCATATCGGAAGGAGAACGGCTAGAAAGCATTTGCTTCTACATTCAATTCAGGCACTGCGTCCGTCGACAGTCTTGGTTTATCAGGCTGGCGACGTGCACATCAATCCGAGTGCAATTGGATACGCTGCTCAGGTGCAGTGACATTTCCTAGCGGCATGTTGTAGCCGACTGTCTATACACGCGCACATTCTTGTAAGCGCTTTTGATGTGTAGCAAACTTAGTGACAGTGCTTTCCGAGTCTGGTGTGCGTGTGTGTGTCTGGCCTTTGATTTAATTCCACGTGTTGGTGTGCGATGTGGTAACGGTCAGACGGGAACGCATAGATATGAAAAAGCGATTTCTGTGGTCGATTGTAGGGTACCCCCCGGGTTCGGAACCCGCGCGGGGGGGGAAAGGGGGGGGAGCGACGACGACGGCGTCGAGTTCAGCGTCGTCGTCGTCGTCGTCGACGGCGTCAGCGTCGAAGTCGTGCCCGGAGTCGGTGTTGCCGTCGTCGTCGTCGTCGTCGTCGTCGTCGTCGTCGTCGTCGTCGTCGTCGTCATCGGCGTTGGCGTCGTTGTCGGCTTCGTGCTCGGCGTCGTGCTCGGCGTCGTGCTCGGCGTCGTGCTCGGCGCCGTGCTCGGCGTCGTGCTCGGCGTCGTGCTCGGCGTTGTCGGCGTCCGCGTGGAGTTGGCGTCGTTGTCGGCGTCGGCGTCATCGTCGTCGTCGTCGTCGTCGGCGTCGTCGTCGTCGTTGTCGTCGGCGTCGGCGTCGTCGGCGTCGGCGTCGGCGTCGGCGTCGTTCTTGGCCTCGGCGTCGACGGCGCCGTGCTCGGCGTCGTGCTCGGCGTCGTGCTCGTCGTGCTCGTCGTCGTCGTCGTCGTCGGCGGCGGCGTCATGCTCGGCGTCGGCGTCGGCGTCGTCGTCAACGGCGGTGGCGGCGGCGTCGGAATCGTCGTCGTCGTCGTCGTCGACGTCGGCGTCGGCGTCGTGCTCGGTGTCGTGCTCGGCATCGTGCTCTTCGTCGGCTTCGGCGCCTGCGTCGGCGTCGGCGTCGTTGTTATCGTTGTCGTCGTCGTCGTCGTCGCCGTCGTCGTCGTCGTCGTCGTCGTCGTCGTCGTCGGCGTCGTCGTCGTCGTCGTCTTCGTCGTCGTCATTGCTGGCGTCGGCGTCGGCGTCGGCGTCGTGCTCGGTGTCGTTGTCTGCGTCGGCGTCGCCGTCGCCGGCGTCGGCATCATCGTCGTCGTCGGCATCGGCGTCGGCGTCGGCGCCAGCGTCGTCGTCGTCGGCATCGGCGTCGTCGGCGTCGTCGTCGCCAGCGTCGGCGTCGTTATCGGCGTCTTCGCAGTCGTCGTCGTCGTCGTCGTCGTCGTGCTGGGCGTCGTGCTCGGCGTGGTGGTGGTCGTCGTCATCGTCGTTGTCGGCGTCGTGCTCGGCGTCGTGCTCGGCGTTGTGCTCGGCGTTGTCGTCGTCGTCGCTGTCGTCGTCATCGTCGTCGTTGATGTCGCCGTCGGCGTCGGCGTCGGCGGCATCGTGCTCGGCGTCGGCGTCGGCGTCGTTTTTGGCGCCGGCGTCGGCGTCGGCGTCGGCATGGGCGTCGGCGTCGGCATCGTCATCGTCATCGTCGTCGTCGCTGTCGTCGTCGTCGTCGGCGTCGGCGTCGGCGTCGGCGTCGGCGTCGTCGTGGTCGTTGCTGTCTTCGCTGTCGGCGCCGCCGTGTCGTGTCGTCGTCGTCGTCGTCGCCTCCCCCTCCTCCTCCCCCTCCTCCTCCTCCTCCTCCTCCTCCTCCTCCTCCTCCTCCTCCTCCTCCTCCTACGGAGTTGTCTACGGAGTTGTCGAGCTACGGAACATACGTATCGTGTGCGAGAGTTCGAGTCATTGTTCGTAGGTTTGTGTGCGCAGGAACAGCTCTTCGTGCGAATCACTGCTGTAGTCGAGCCCTGACCTGTGCAGGTGGGCAGCGGGCGTCCTCCTGTCTGTCGCACGGACCGAGGAGGATGAGACGTTGTGGAATGGAACAGTGGAGTCGGAACCCTGGGACGCGTCCCTTGCCTTGGGCCGTCAGCCACAGGGCATAGGGCACATGGCACTGAAGGCATGTTTTAGAGTCTCTCTCAGACAGAGCCATCGCCTCATTGGAGGCAGGGGAACCTGCACACGCCTCCCCGGATCACAGGGACACATCCCAGGGACATGCTCTGTTTCCGTTTGCTCGCAGAGATGCTTGACTTTTTTTGTAGTCATCATGTTTGATTCGCTTGTTTGCCGTCAGCAGAATTGTATACGGCTTTCGTTGAAGGCAACATATCAAGATCTGTTCGCAAACATGCTGATGTGAATCGTAGACGGTTCGTGATTTGTCTGAAGTGGGAGCACAGATGCCATGTTTTCTGGGGCGGACGAGTCTAGAGAGACAGCCCCCATAAGGTGACGTGGTACAGGCCGAGCAGCCTGCCGACTTTGTTGGCCCTGAAGAAACAAGACCCCACGGCCAAGCTGGTGTCGGGTAACACCGAAATCGGCATAGAGACGAAGTTCAAGAAGCTGGAGTACCCGGTGCAGATATCCACTGCTGCCGTCAGGGAGCTGCACGAGCTCTGCTTCGATGCCGAAGGCGCGCTGGTGATTGGCGGAGCCGTAACGCTGTCCTCGGTGGAACACTTCATCGAGGATGCCCTGAAGGATCGGCCCCTTGCCGCATTCTCGTGGCTCAAGGCCATGCTGGACATGCTCCGCTGGTTCGCGAGCGGGCAGATACGCAACGTGGCCGCCCTCGCCGGGAACCTCGCCACCGCGAGCCCCATCTCCGACATGAACCCGGTGCTGATGGCGCTGGGCGCGACGGTCACCGTGGCCGGGTGCGGCTGCCCGCCGCGCGAGGTGCTGGTCCGGGAGTTCTTCAAGCGATACCGCACCGTGGACATGTCGCCCTCCGAGGTTGATGAGCGCGTTTTCCACCACCACCACCATGAGTTGGATGGTGCGAAGGGGGAGGAGGAGGAGGAGAAGGAGGAGGAGGAGGAGGAGGAGGAGGAGGAGGAGGAGGAGGAGGAGGAGGAGGACCCCCCCCTCCAACTTATGGTGGTGGTGGTGGAAAACACGCTCATCAGAGGTGATCTGCCGCGTGCGGGTGCCGCCCCCGACGGGCGAGTTCGAGTTCGCCCGCAGCTTCAAGCAGGCCCGGCGGCGCGACGACGACATCTCCATCGTGAACGCCTGCATTCGGGTGGAGCTCTCGCCCGGGGAGGGGGGCTGGACCAGTCGGAGGAGGGCCCGTGGAGGCAGCGGCGGAGCTCTCGCGCTCTTCGCTCCTCGGCGCGGCGTTCCCGCCGTGGCGACGAGAGGCCTCCGGGAGGCCCGCGGAGGGCGCAGCGCGCGAGGGAGGGCCGCGGCCGTCTCGGCGGGGCCTGCTCCGAGCCATCCGCTCGGTGGACACTGGCTTCGGGGGCATGGCCCCGACGACGAAGCGCGCGCGCCGGACGGAGGAGGCCCTGGTGGGGGCCGCGTGGGGCGAGGCCGCCATCGAGCGAGCGTGCGCGGCACTGGCCGAGGACCTGCCGTTGCCGGAGGGGGTGCCCGGGGGCATGGCGGCGTACCGCCAGACCCTCGCGGCGTCCTTCCTGAAGAAGTTCTACCTCGGGGTGTCCCAGGACCCCCTGCCCGACATGCGCATCCCTGCTCCCAGAGCAGGAACAGGTACCGATACCGCTGCCCTTGTCTCGGTTTCGCCTCCTCGGGTCTGCTGGGATGCCCTCGTCGCTACGGCTGGATTCGTCCCGAAATTCTGGTCAGAGCGCTTCCTGGGAGATGCCCAGGGAGTAGCGGTATCGGTATCTTCTGGTTCCCCCTGCTCCGTTCTCCCCCGTCACCCGCCCCCACGCATCCCCTAGTTGCGTGATATTCGCTCCCGACTTATATCTCTGGGTCGATTTTGAGGTCGCCGCGGCGATCGCGGCGGCCACAAATCAGGGCAGGATCGTTGTCAAGGAGTGGCATGCCCCTTCCCAGATCCCCCGCTCTGCGATGTAGACGTGGCTCATGCTTGACCGTCTGGCGGCAGAGAGTTGTGAGCTCACGTCCACATGGGGAGTCCTACTTTTTCCGGAGAGGGGCCGATCATCCCGCCACCAGGATGCGAGAGGGAGCGCAATTGGCCCCAGACAAGACCCGGCGAGGAGGGCGCGTGGGAAGAAGCGAGGAGGAAGCGACGCTTTTGACGGCCTCCGCGGCCCGGGGAGCCCGCCTGGAGGCCAGGAGGCGGGAGGGAGCTTCATGGGCCCCGAGCTCCTCGAGCCAGGTCGACCCCGCGAGGCACCCGCTCCTGCTCCCCCCCCCCAGCCTTCGGAGCCTCGTGGGAGTCTCTTGGAAGCCTCCTGAGGGCTTCTTGGGCCTTCCTGGGGACCTCTTGGGGGGGGCCTCTTGGGCGGCCCCTTGGGCGGCCTCCTGGGGCAGTCCCGTTTTGGTTGGGGGCCGAATTTTGCGCAGCCATCCCTGCACCCGCTCCCGACACCTCCAGGCCGCTGTGCCCTCCTCCCCTTGGCGCCCGAGGCGCATCGAGGGAAATCCGGCCGCGGGGGAGATCGAGGGCGCCTGCGGCGAGTCCGCCCGTGTGGTGGAGTATCCGGCTCAGTCCCAGACCCCCTCGTGTCCTGAAAAGATCAGGGCAGGAAGTTCTTCCAAGCCTTCGGCCTCCGGGTGCCCTTGCAGGGCCTCGGGGCTGGTCAACAAAAACCGACTCAGGATGAAAAACCCTTCCAGGGAAAGGAGGAGGAGGAGGAGGAGGAGGAGAGGAGGAGGAGGAGGAGGGAGGAGGAGGAGGAGCAGGAGCAGGAGCAGAGCAGGAGGAGCAGGAGGAGCAGGAGGAGCAGGAGGCAGGGAGGAGAGGAGGAGGAGGAGGAGGGGAGGAGGAGGAGGAGGAGGAGAGGAGGAGAGAGGAGAGGCGGAGGGGAGGGGGGGGGAGGGGGAGGGGGAGGGGAGGGGGAGGGGAGGGGGGGAGGGGGAGGGGAGGGGGAGGGGGGAGGGGGAGGGGGAGGGGAGGGGGGAGGGAGGGGGAGGGGGAGGGGAGGTCGACGTAATGAAGAAATATCGGGGTCCGGGGGGGTCCCAGGCGGTTTTCCTGCCGCAGGCACATGGCTGCCCTGCAAGATCGAGTCGCCTCGACGAGCGCGGAGCGTGGAGGGGGTACCCCTTCTGGGGGCTGGAATGTTCGGACGCACCACTATCGAGACTTGGCGCCCGCCCATCGCATGTCCCAGAGCTGGGCCCAATATTCTCAGGAGGGGAAAAAGCACACAGACACAATTCATCGCCGACTCCCAGAAAATATTGGGGGGAAAGACAAAAACCCAGAAAATATGGAAAAATAGGGGGAATCATTTTATTTGTGTGTATTTATTTGTGTGTCCCAGGGCCCCTTCATTGTTTTCGGTCCTTTCGAACGCCCCCCAAAGTCGGGGATTGAAGTCGCCATGCCGCTCGCTGGGGGCCGCCATGCTGGCTGGTGGACTGCGGGTTCCCCCAGCGCCTGGGGAAAACTGTCGGGTGATCGCTGGGGAGGGGCCCTCTGGGGCCATTTGAGCGACGCACAAGGACAGGGTCGTGTGCGCCGACGTTGGCGCGTAAGCTGTCCGCGTGAGCTCGCGCGTAGGCGCCCTCGTCTCCACTGTGGCGCTCCGCGCTGGCGGCCCGCGTAAGCCGCGGCGTAACGTCGCTACGTCATCTCGCGTGAGACCGGTTTTTGATCGTCGCCTATCTGGGGTTCCAGCCGGCTGCGTCTGCTTGGGGGCCTCTTGGGGCACCCGTGGGCCACTCGGGGGCCCTCTTGTGCCGTCTTGGGGCGCTCTCGGGCTGTCCTGCGCCCTGGGAGACAGTCCGGGGGGTCTATTTGGGCCGTCTCGGGCGCAGGAGCTGGTGGCAAGCTTTTGACTGACGGCCCGTCAGGCCAGCTCGAGTTCTCCAGACTCGAGTCTTGCGTCTCCCCGACCTTCCTCAGGGTTATGTTGCTCCCTTCGCACTTGAGGACCATATCCCATACATAGTTTCGAGCACACAGAAAAGTATCGAATCAGTTTTGCCCGACACGCGACACGCCAGCGCAGTGTCGAACGAGTATCGCCTCCCAGGGCCCGACACGTGAAAACCCTCCTGTTTCGATACCTGTACGAACACTCTTCGGGTGATAAAGAGGTTCGGGGGGGGGAGGAACCAACGTCTCACTCGATCGGTCTCACTATCGATCTCACTATCGATCTCGCTCGATCGATCTCACTCGATCGATCTCACTCGATCTATTTCATTCGATCGATCTCACAATCGGTCTGACTATCGATCTCACAATCGATCTCACCATCGATCTCACTATCGATCTCACAATCGATCTCACATTCGGTCTCACTATCGATCTCACTATCGATATCACAATCGATCTCACAATCAACGTCATCATCATCAACACCATCGTCGTCATCAACGTCATCAACATCATCATGATCATCATCAGTGGGACACCATCAACATCATCATCACGTCATCATCAACATCATCATCACCATCATCATCATGGGGACACCATCATCGTCACCATCATCATCAACATCATCATCGGGACACCATCGTCATCATCATCATCACCGGAGCACCACCATCATCATCATCATCGCATAATCATCATAAACAATATCATCTCATCATCTCATCATCATCTTCAGGGCACCATCATCATCAGCAGCATCATCATCAACATCATCATCATAATCGGGACACCATCATCATCGTCACCATCATCATCATCATCATCATCATCATCGGGACACCGTCGTCGTCGTCATCAGCAACACCATCATCACCATCATCGGGCCACCATCATCAAAGTCATCATCATCACCTCATCATCATCCTCATCATCAACATCATCATCATCATCATCATCACCATCGGGACACCATCATCATCATCACCATCATCATCAGCAGCATCATCATCAACCTCATCATCATCATCATAATCACCATCATCGGGACACCATCATGATCATCTTCATCATCATCATCATCTCATCATCTCATCATCATCAACATCATCATGATCATCAACATCATCATCATCGGGACACCATCATCATCAT